AAGTTGTGGCTAAGCCATTGAAGCTAGAACTTGTGAAATATATATCGAAAGGCTTGGTAGTAACGTTATTATTTTGTGGACTGTTTTGCGTTGCTGTTGGGCTGTGTATTTTACTACTGTTTTGTGGAGTTTTAGAGGAGTAAGGGTGTGGAGAAAAACCATATATATGTAGGGTTGTGGGATGATAGTTATTCATAACATTTCCCGATCGTTTGACACGACTACGGTGGTCATCATATGTATGGAGTGATTAGGCTGTGCGTGGACTATTTTGGGAGGCTCAATATGTTTATTATTGATGTTGTTTGGGCTGTTTGGTGACTGTTTTGAATGGTGTGAAGTCATATATATAGGGGAGGTGTTGTCCGTTTCATCGTAAAATAGGTTGTGGTCGATACATAATAGTTATGACGCTTAAATGATAACGATAGTATCGTTTCTCTTATTGTAGACTAAGGAGTTTTGACAATTGCATAGCTTGAGATTGGGGCAGTATATACAAGGTATGTGAGGCTATCCCTTTCCTTCTTTTGCACGACTCCGATTGTACATAATGTAATGAACGAGCTTCCAAGATACTCTACTCTTAGAAGCTAGCAGTACTTACATTGTTTTCCCTCTTATGGAACGATTGATGTTAATGTTGCTTCTCTTATTCTTATGTTATCAATGTTGTTGGTACTTCCTGATTCTTATAAGGTTCATAGTGAAGAGTTAGTCCTAATAACGTGTACAGAGGATACCGACCTTACGTCACTCCGAAAGGTTTAGAATGTGATTCCATGAGTCGAGCATGCATTATATATATGTATCTATTTTACTCTACCGAGACACGCTATAGTTGGTCGGGTATGGCACCTATTGTGCAACCACTGATCAGTTGGGTTTTACCGCGCTCCACGTGGCCGAGTACGATTCTACTGAGCCTTATGATGGTCGGGTACGTTTTTTTACCGAGCCTATTATGGCTGGGTACGATATGATGATGATGATGCCCACAGAGGCGAATGTTTTAAAGGTTTATGTTTTTATACATATGTATCATGCATTTCATGTCAGTAGCCCTTAGAGGTACTAAGATGTTATAGGTTGTATATTCTCTATCCTTGCTTATATTACTGATCGTATTTATGGTTCCCTGCCTTATATACTCAGTACTTTATTCGTATTGACGTCCTTTTATTTGTGGACGCTGCATGTCGTGCTGCAGGTCCTGATAGACAGGCAGGTGCAGCTCCCCCACCACAGTAGACTGTCCAGTTCAGCGGTGATTGGCGAGATCCCTTCTCCGGACTTGCCTTGGTCTTGGTATGCATTTTTGTTATAGACATTATGGGTATGTCGGGGCCCTGTTCAGGCTATGTTGCAGCACTTATGTTCCTTTAGAGGCTCATAGACAGGTGTCGACTCATGTATAGTTTGGTATGCCTTGTCGGCTGGTTTTTGTTGTATAGTCTTTCATGGTAGCGTGGTAGCTCGTACCATATATGTATAGTTTCTTGATTGTCTAGTCATCCCATGTTATGTATGTTCATGCCATCATATTTTATGATTGGTTGTCCATGATCCATATCTACCATTTATATTGATCTCATCAGCCCTAAAATATAATAAAGAAGGTTAGATAAAATGTACGTTGGTGCTCGGCAAGTATGGTCGGGTGCTAGTCATGGCCCTCCAGTTTGGGTCGTGACAAAAGTATACTCCCAAAAATCTTGTCTTTCTAAAACTTCTTCTTGTGACTTTTCAAGTCTAAATCTTATTTGAAAGTGATACATCAGTATTCATAATAATATTCTTGAGTGTATGCATAACATAAGCATGAAATTAAATTACTCAAAGTATTTCTAAAGGTTCTATCTAACTCTTGAAACTTTAACATGTATGATCATGTAATAAAACATAAAAATATGAAAAATAGACAATTATGCTTCTCGAGTAAAATATATAAGTTTTAACTAGAATATACTTAGTCAACATGTATTCACTCATTCCAATTAAGTACATGTTGAGTCTTTAAAGCATTTTATCAAATACTTTGTGGGCATGTTTTTTTGAGTAGAACCACTTTAGTAAAGGATTATATCCACTCACCTCAATTTCTCCTTTAAAGCAACAATGAAAGTTCCAATTCTTGTAAGCAAGTCAACGATCAAATACTACAACAATAAGTCACAATAAGTATCCAACTTTCCCAAAGTATTAATCTTTTCTCAACTCTTAAAACTTTAGGTTCAACTTCTAAATTTTTAGGTTTTGGGATGAGGTCTTGTTCTAACAATTCTTTAATATCTCTAACAACCTTAACCCGTTGTAGCAACCAATAGAAGTGAAGAATTTATCTTGTAACACCAAAAACTTAACTCGTACTTGATGGGTGTTCTTGAGGCTTTGTAAAACATTCTTATGAATTCACCCCTTTAGGGTGTTAGATTCTAGTGTATAATGATGTTATAGCTTACAATTCCATAAAAAAAATTACCTCAGTCGTGGCCTAAAGAGGTCGTACGAAATAGCTCTCACAATGCCCTATACGCTGCCTTATTCTTGCTCCTTGAAAATCTATATTTTTGTTGTTGTTTTGAATATCTACAAAGTTGCCTTCTTTTCCAGCCCTTTTGCGTGAATGACAGAACCTAAGGTTCTGTTTTTCTTAAGGCTTTGAAGCCTTTATTTTCCAAAAGCCCATTTTATGGGCTTCAGACCTTTTTAAAACTTAACTAATAATTAATGATACACGCTTTTAATAATCAATAATATTAAAATTATTAATATTTCTCTAATTGTATATCCAATTCTTTATAAATAGAGAAGTAATTCAAAATCAATCACAAAGGTTTAAATCCGTAATAGAAGTATAATTTTAGACAAAAAAAATTAAATTATATATTTTGCGAGTTTTGAAATTTGGGACGCAAATGAATTTTTTTAACTCTCAAGTCATTCCCAAGTGGGGTAATATGTACGCAGACCTTACCCCTACCCCGAAGGGTAGAGAGGCTATTTCCAGGAGACCTTCGGCTCAAAAAAAGCAATAGGAGCTGATATATTAGTACCATAAAAAATGCATAATACAATAACAGCAATATAAGAGCTATGAAATACAGAATACGAAATACGAAATAAATGGCTGGTATAGTAAAACTAGCAGGTAAAGCCCTGCATCAATAGACGACCAATGATATTCTTAGTATAACTCTAACTAGCTAGTCTCACTATATTGTGTTGTAGAAATATTCACAACTTTCCCCTAACCTACAACCTTAATGCTCGACCTCCATAATTCCCTGTCAAGGGCCATGTCCTCAGTAATCCTAAGTCGCGCCATGTCCTGTCTGATCACCTCTCCCCAATACTTCTTAGGTCGCCCTCTACCTCTCCGCGTGCCCACTACAACCAGTCGTTCACACCNCAGTCGCTCACACCTCCTCACCGGTGCATCAGTGCTCCTCCTCTGAATGTGCCCGAACCATCTGAGTCTTACTTCCCGCATCTTGTCCTCCATGGGGGCCACACCCACCTTCTCTCGAATATCTTCATTCCTAATCTTATCCATCCTTGTATGCCCGCACATCCACCTCAACATCCTCGTCTCTGCTACTTTCATCTTCTGGGTGTGTGAGTTCTTTACCGGCCAACATTCAGTTCCATATAACATGGCAGGCCTAACCACTGCTCTATAAAACTTACCTTTTAGTAATGGTGGCACTTTCTTGTCACACAAGACTCCCGACGCTAACCTCCACTTCTTCCACTCCACCCTTACACGGTGTGTGACATCCTCGTCAATCTCCCCGATCCCCTGAATAACCGATCCAAGGTACTTGAAACTACCCTTCTTGGGAATAACTTGAGAGTCAAGCCTCACTTCAACTGTCAAGCCCCACTTGTGGGATTATACTGGGTCATTGTTGTTGTTGTTGTAAATGAATTTTTTTAACCACAAATTTTTCAAATACTTTTTATATATTTTTAATTACTACTATTGTGACGTATAGTGGGATATTTTATGTAATACCTTACTATGTAAACTTTATTAGAAATTTTTAAAGATTGTATATCCGAATTAATTACTGAAGATTGTATTTTCAGATAGAAAATTAGGTAATTTAACACTAGTTTGCCGGTGGGAGTAATAATTACTCATCGAAATTGGACGTTTGAAGGACAAGCATTCTAAAGGTTGCATGTACAAACCCTATCTATTTACCAATAAATTGGGCCAGTAGGTTCTCATAATAAACACATGACATCCCCAACTGAAAGGTAGATCCAAAAAACAGTGTAGAAACAATGGAGAATAGAAATGGCGAAGCTAGCAATAATAACAATAATGCAAGGTTGGCTATAATGGAATTAGCCAACATGATAAGTGTACCTATGTCTCTAAATGCCGTTGTTAGGCTTAAAGTAGCTGATGCTATTTGGGAAGGTGGATCAAACGCGCCGCTCTCTCCCACCGAAATTCTCGCTAAAACAAGCGGTTCCGAAGGCGGCGGTGGTGCCGGTGGCGGTGATGCTGAGAATCTGCAAAGGATTTTACGCATGCTCACGAGCTATGATGTATTTGCTGAGCACATAGTTGATGACGGCCCTCAAAGAAGGTATCCGTTTGTCCATAATTTTTTTTTTTTCCTTTTTTCCGAAACTTATCGTTAAAACATTGTTTGGTTATATTTTTAATTAAAATTTTGGAGATGTTCAAAAAAATTTGAGATGAGTTTCAAATTTTTAAAAAAGTGATTTTTTTTCCAAGTAAACAACGCTTTTCTCTCACAAAACTGTAATATTTTTTCAAGTAAAATGTATGTCCAAACACAATTTTAATTTTCAAATACATTTCTTTCAATTTAATTAAATTTTTTTTTTTCAAATCTCACATTTCTTATGTCTAAACGCCTACTTAATCTATCTATCTACACTATATTAAAAGCACGAAGGCTTTTAACGAAATGTCGTTTGCCTTTTTTTACCCTTCAAGAATAGATTTTATGTTGGACAATACTGTAATTTAAGTTAATTTCCTATTATTTAGGACTTCAAAATCAACTAAAATTTTTATTATTAAATTTTCCTTATTTGAACTTTGAATAAATTCCTAACATTTAGATTACATAAATATTTTTCTTATTTTACTCGTGTAAATTAATAGCTTCTCCTTATATGTACATTATATATTTACTTATCATAATAGATCTATTTTAAGTCTTTAAATATTGAAGTTAACTATATATACCATCTAAACGAAACATATAGAGACACATTAGTAAAAAAGTATCTTTAAGTAAGTTTACAAACAACATACCTACATTTGAAAATAATAATAATTTATTGTAATAATAAATATTACAATATGCTTTAAGTTTTTTTACATGTTGTAATATATAGTTATATCAAATCAAAAGCTCAATTACAATATTGGATAAGTAAAGCATATATATGATACTCTAATTTATAAATTGAAATTAATAGCAATAAATTATACTGTAATTTATAAGAAATTTTAAGTTAGTTTTAAGTGAATCTTCCTACAGATTTCCTTATTTAATAATGTAGGAAGTCTTAATATTTAAATCTTTAGAATTAATTAATATAATTATAATACCTCATATGTTACTCTTTAGAATATTTATAGAATTTTATCCAGTATAAAATTTATTTTTAAAGAGTAAAAATGTCGATTAAAATTGTGTGAAATTAATTTTGAATGAAAATTCAATACAAAATATTGATTGATTTTTTTATCCTCTAAACATATATTTTACCTTAGACAAAATTATCATTTAATTACTTTGATATCAACTAAATTTTGCTTATTAAATCTTTTTTCTATTTTAGCTATGTAGGAAACACTAATATTTACTCTTTTTAACCTAAATTATTGGTAGTATTTAACTAAGCATGAAGTTTAAAAAAGACGAATTGTTTTAAAATTTATGGTCTAAACAAGCCACAAATATTTATGCAGGCATAAATCATCTTTTTAAGAGTAAATTAAAAAGTCTAATATTAAATTATTTCTAAATAAAGAAGTATGAATTTTATTTTTGGGACATATTAGAAAAAGAAAGTATGAAAATCTAAGGTTTTAGCTTATATAAATAATTCATTTAATGAATTAGCGGTAACATAACTATAATTCTTTCCAAAAATGTAGTAAGCCAAATTAAACAACTTTTTTTTATAGAAAAATCATTAGAAAATATGGGTTCAACATTCTCTTAATTGTCTTAGACAAAATTAAAAAGTACAATAATTTTTTATAGCAAATTAAGCAACTAATATAATCAATAAATTAATTTGAGTTTCTCATTTCATGACAAAGCAAATACTTGTGCTAGATAGAGACACAAGATTTTTATCAATTTAACTGAAGGATCAACATTTTTCACTTTCAGAAACTTACACTTTTTTCTTTCATTTTTTTATTTTATAACTCAAGTATATATTTTATAATAGTTATATAATTTTTTACATACATAAATATGGGTACACGCGCAATACGTGTATCCTAAGACTAGTTGTGTAAAAATACAGCGTTTACGTTAAATTCACATCTAGTTAAGCTACCAAAACAACATTGACCGTTTTCAAGCCGAACTAGTTACTGCTTATTCTTCTTCATGATTAATCAAAGAAATTCAAGCCAAACTTATGTTTGTTGGGATAAGCCAAACTTTGTGGAGTTTGGTACGACGGAGTTCATTTTTCATCGAAAACGTTGTTTGGTACGACGGAGTTCATTTTTCATCGAAAACGTTGTTCATGAAAAGATAGTACTTCCTCTGTTCCAATTTATATGACATATTTTGATTTTGAGAGTCAAAACTATTTTATTTTACAGATATTCGTTGACAGAGGTGGGCAAAACCCTAGTCACAGACAAGAACGGCTTATCCTATGGCTCCTACATTCTCCAGCACCACCAAGATGCGTTAATGAGCGCGTGGACGATGGTTGACGAGGCCATCAACGATTCGTCCACTGAGCCATTTGCTAAGGCAAATGGCGAACCGGCTTACAATTACTACGGGAAAAAACCAGAAATGAATAACCTAATGTTAAATGCAATGTCTGGAGTTTCTGTGCCGTTTATGAAGGCAATTTTAGAGAGTTATAATGGGTTTCAAGGAGTGAAAACATTGGTTGACGTTGGAGGAAGTGGTGGAGATTGCTTGAAAATGATTTTAGAGAAACATCAAAGTATTCAACTAGGAATTAACTTTGATTTGCCTGAGGTTGTTGAAAAAGCTCCCAAAATTCCTCGTAAGTTGGATCACACTTGTATTTAATTCCCTCTCTTTTATTTTTTTTAAATATAAAGTACGGAAATTACCTTAAAATTTTTATAATCTTGAACAAACGGTTTTTTTCTTGCAAGAACATGTCAGAAACGATGAAATAAAAATGTTACTCCCTCCGGTCCACAATAAGTGACTATTTTACCTTTTTATTTTGGTGCAAAATAAGTGTCCATTTACATAATCAAGAAGAAATTAATTTTATTTTACCAAAATTTGCCCTTATTTACATATTCCAATGTGTAAAGATAACAATTAATTAAGGTTAATTTAGTGAATAATTTTTTTTTCTAATGGAGTTCGTATTTTCTTAATTGGTGTACCAAAGGTAAAACGGTCACTTATTGTGGACCGGAGGGAGTAAAATTTAAGGGGCTTTTTAATATAAAAAGATTTCAATTTTCTTAAATTTACTTAAATAATGTAGCTAAAATACATTCTCCACAATCACAAATATTAATGGTTTTATAATATTTGATGTCATAAAAAACGAGAAGTTACTTTTTTTCTTTTGGAACCTACTCTTATTGTTCTAATTAGTGGANAATCATATAATTATCTTTTTGTTGTGAAATTTTTTGTTTAAGAGTCCTTGACGTGCTCTATTTTATTTTATAAAAAAGTTTTAGGTTTAGTGTTGTTTGTTTTCTTTTTCTTTTTCAGAACACCTTTTCTTCGTATAAGTTATGTAATTTGATTATACAATGAGTTACAATAATTTATTCATTTTCTAATCTGTTTAAAATAATTCATATAGTATTTATTATTAATTAAAAAATTAAATCAGTTGCATTGTATTTTTGAAAAAAAAATTATTATTTTCTATCAATTTGTTAATCCTGTTTGAGTCTTCTAAAATGAACTAGGGAATAATTTTTCAAAAAAAAAATCAAAAAAATTCTTAAGTTTTCAAGGATTATATGTGATTGCTGAAATTGAAAAAGAACCATGATAACTTATGAACTTAAAATGATTGAATTAAAAAATTAAAATAAATTTTTAGTTAAATATATTAACTAATGATTGAGAACTTGTATGAAGATTCATCATTTTAGAAAAAATTAACTTTTATTTTATCACTCAAACATAATATTTTAATATATTATTTATATAGTATTTTATAGTTCTTTCTTATTGAGATAGTGTACACGCGCAAAACGCGTATCATAAGACTAGTATATATATATATATATATATATATATATATGTATGTATGTATGTATGTATGTCTAAGAAAATAGTATTTCTTATTATTAAGACTATTAAAATCTTTATTAAATTACGTGCAAAAAACTTAGAGATGAATAAGTCCTGACTTACAGATGTAGATAGGTGTTTCACATTAATCTTTCTTTTCCAAAGTATAAATTTCTAGCAAATCGTACGCCAGATTCTTTTCCTGTAACCTTAAATAGATAGACGTAAAAATTGGGACAAAGAGCCTGACTACTACGTATTACTTTAAATCTCTTTCATATCTTTGAATAAAAAAAATGTTGGCCGAATTTACTCTAAGTTTTGACGTGCAGGTATAAATCACATCGGTGGTGACATGTTCAAATACGTACCAAAGGGAAACGCTATTTTCATGAAGGTCCATTTTTTACCTTCTCAATCCTGTCTTTTTCTTCTGTGGGGTAATTGTGACAAAATAGCACGGGTTAGGTAGTTTTTGGACTGGTCATTCAAAAATAGCCAGCGTTTGCAAAGTCATCGAAAAATAGCCATTATGTTGTTGCAGCGCGGAAAGTTCCAGCATAATATACTGGAGATCGGTGCACCTGTGTATGAACTTCCAGCATATTATGCTGAAACTCCAACACGCGAAAAGTTCTAGCAAAATATACTGGAGATTGGAGCACGCACCGGTGCTCCAATCTCCAGTATATTATACTGGAGTATTTTCTCGGATTTTGAACAGTGTTTTTGCTCAGATTTATCTTTACATGAAAAGTGGCTAAATTTCGATTATTTTTGAAACTGTGGCTATTTTTGAATAACCACTTGTGTCCGGCTATTTTTGAATTTCTCCCGGTAATTATGCACTATAGTTTGTTTCTACTTAATTTGAGTTAATTTCCCAAGTAAGGAAATAACTCCACAATATTGACTTAATTTTTTCTAGTTGGAATTTTGTTTCTTTCATGTGCTAGTTATAATTTCTTGAGAAATACGAATTTATACAAGAAGAGTAGCAATTTTTGAATTGCATTTGTCACTTCAAAACTTACTCATCCTCTTTCTTCTAGGTACGTATGTAAATAATGAAATCGACCACGTGAAAGAGCTAGATGACTTGTTGCTTTCAAATAGTACAAGATCATAATTGTTTTGATCAAATCCTCGGATGAATTTTTGAATCATCGGCCTCTTGGACCACTTTGTCGTTAGAAACACACATGGACGTACGATTTGGCTATGGGTTATTTGAATCTGACATATAGTAGTGGGTATTAATTTACCGGCACAAGATGTTTCTACCAACCCAATAATAAATATATAACACATGTTTTCACAATCATGGTTATCACTAAATAATAAGGAGTACTAGTAGTTAACTAGTACACATTATTTTTAAGTATAAAAGTTCTTAAATTTTTGTTGTGATATACAGTGAGGTGTATCTAATGTAGAAGGTAATCATTAAAGATATATAAATATCAAATTTTGAACCCATAAAATTAGATGAGAGGTGGTAGCATTGCGAATCTAAACATATAAAGTTTAAATTCTGAATCCGTCTCTGTATGCAGTGGGTGCTAACAACATGGACAGATGATGAATGCAAGCAAATAATGAAGAGTTGCTATAACGCACTCCCAAAGAAAGGGAAATTGATTGCTTGTGAGCCAGTTTTGCCGCATCATACTGATGATAGCAAGAGAACTCGAGCACTTCTTGAAGGAGACATTTTTGTCATGACAATCTACCGTGCCAAAGGTAAGCACCGCACTGAAGATGAATATCGGCAGCTCGGCCGATCAGCTGGTTTCGCCGATTGCCGAGGTTTCTACATCGATCATTTCTTCACCGTTCTTGAATTTCATAAGTTATAAATGGGCTCACATAGCTTCAAGGGTGAAGCTACAGTTCCGCTGAACCTAGTAGTTATGGTAAAAACCCCGTATTTGTAATAAAAATTCATTAAAGAACCCAGTGACTAGTGAGGTGTCTTTTCTAGATTCCATAGGGATTAGGACCCGTAAACTCATAAACCTAGCTCCGGTCTTTGGTCACATTACACCAATTCCGAGCACTCTATATATGTGAACTATACAGCTAGGGGTGGAGCTAGCCTTTCGGATACGGGTTTGACTGAACTCAGTAACTTTTGTTTAAACTTTGTATTTGTCTTAAAAAAGTATTAAATTATGCACAAGTTATTAATTTGGAACCCGATAACTTAAAAGAATTAGAATAATGAACTCACACGCTTCAAATCTTGGCTCCTCCTCTATTAATACAGCTAGCCTACTTTTGGTTCGATTATAGTAACTCCATTAGTATAATGAGACCTTTTATATTATGGTTTATTTCGGAATGTTTGTGGCACACACTAGACTACTTCTGGTTCGATACATGTCAGAGGTTTAGATATTTAGCAAGCATGGCTAAAATGGAACGAGTTCAAGATCGTGGTTCTTTGAGTGCATGGTTGTGATTTGGCTAAGTCGAGGCTGTAATTACAAACTAGTAGTATAAAGTTAAGATATATATTCGATGTGATAAAATAATACATGGTAAAAAAGATAATCATTGACCAGTTTTTTAACATGTGAGTATTGTGGAAAGCTGATAGATTCTCCTTGGCTCATTTTTTTTGTTTTTCCCATATGATATTGGGGCTTCTATTTATTCGGATTATCATGTCTAAAACTCATTAAAGGATAAATAAATTCCCTATATTGTTTTCTATTATATACTTCCAACAAAAAGTATAGTTGTTGAAATTCTGATGATTAAGTTTCACCGAAATTGATCTCTCGTATTTCTTGTAGTCTAATGAGAAGCGGATGATCTTGTTTGGACCAGTATTTTTTTCTCAATATTAATCAATGGGCCTGGCCCAAGTCAGGGTTGAGCCCTGCACTTCGTACAAAAATGATACTCCTTCCGTTCCAATTTATGTGAACTTATTTCCTTTTTTGTCCGTTCCAAAAAAATGACTTCTTTCTAAATTTGGAAACAATTTGGCTTAAGTTTACAATTTTATCCTTAATGAGACGCTCTTATAACCATACAAATACTCTGGGCTCCCTTTTGACTTGTTTAGGACCACAAATTCTAAAAGTCTTTATTTTTTTCTTAAACTCCATGCACAGTCAAATAGGTTCACATAAATTAGAACGGAGGGAGTATTTGCTTTTTGCATATTCAGGATAGAATGGCATGGTATGACAACATATAAAGAGAATTAACAATATTTTAGCAAAGGTAACCCCAAAAAATTGGTATTATATAGACAACTCCTAAATAACTCTAGTTTTTTATTTATTCTCTTTCCCCATATTTCTTCTCTAATTTTCTTCTTCAATCGTTTCTTTTTTTCTTCTTCTTCAATCTAGCAAATTTTCTCCTTCAATCTAGATTTGGAAGGGCATATATTCTTTGATAATGAGTGAATACATTTTTCTATTAAGTTTAGATCTTCTTATCACGATGGCAATTTTGTAAAAAATTTATTTTTTTATCTAGTTTTCTTCTTGTCTTCATCCAATTGTTGCTTTGTTCGATTGATTTATATATCTTTGGAAGATTCCAATCTTCTTCTTCTTCTTCTTCTTCTTCTTCTTCTTCTTCTTCTTCTTCTTCTTCCCTATTCTTTTTTAATTGTTAAAAAGAAAATATGTGTGTTTGAGGTGGTGTAAATCTATGTATATCATCATGTGTACCCGTGTGTATATCATATTGTATATGATGATATACATTATTAGATAAGTCAATAAAATGTTAAATCAAAATCAAATCGTCCTAACTAATTTTAAGAGAGTGAAATTCATTCTAAATAAACTTACTTCAATTTTTTTTATTGATCAAAGAAGGAAAATAATTTTTTAATATAACAGGTTTAGTGCAAGTTTTAAAATATAAAAATAATAAATATTAATATAGGAGTAAATAAAATGTTGATGTACAAAGAAAGAAAATAAATTTCTGATATAATATTTTAAGATACATTCGATGTATTATACACCACGATATACAAATAATATAATTATTTTTATTGTGATAGACACTGATAAAAAAGCAACAATAAATGTTATATATATATATATATATATATATATATATATATATTAATACGAAAAACGGAAAATAAAATTTTAATATTCATATTGCTGTACACAAGGAAGAAGAAAAAGTTGTGTACATATTATTGTTGTGATATACATTAATTAGCTATTTGATGCCAATATTTATAACTAGGGCCATTTTCTGCTAATTATGTGGGTACGTTCTTTGACATTTGACTCGCGTACTACTCGTTTAATAGTTTTTTTCCTTTCTCAAAATTAGGATTTAATGATTTTATGTCTTTACGCACATATAATGTATGTTAAGCGTAGATTTTTTGTATTGGTTTTCAAATACATTCTTTAGTTTAGAATTTTATTTAAGTTTTTATTTTCATAATTTTTTAAATTTTTATCCTTTCATTCTTTTTAACATTTAAATACATTAATAATATCCCATGTTTTAAGACATTGTTGGCCCCACAAGAAAAAAGGAGGTTCGAGAAAGATGCTTGAAATGACTGAATATGCCTATGAAGGTGCTGAAAGTTTGATGCTTTTTGCCATGATTTAGGTCATATACACAACAGAAAATCGTGAAAGTATGAAACAAACAATAATAAAGAAAAGATGAAGGAAAAGAGAAGGAAAATAAAATCAAGTTTGTTTTGCAGCATATATGAGCCATTGCAAAGGCGGAGCCATAATTTTAATCTTTATGAGTTCTAAATTTTAAAATGACGATTTTGATTGGACAAATCTACTGTTTTTATTTTGGATTTCCCATGCAGAAAATGCGAGAAAAACAAACTAACAGACAACCTTTCATGGTGGGGGTAACAGTTTGTTGAAAGAGGACAATCCATATCCATTGAAGCTTCACACTTGCAAATAAAAATAAGAAGAAAAAAAAACGCACATATGCGTGAGGTTGTTCAAACAGAGATAATTTCACTTGGCAAGAAAACTAGCAAGCTTTGTGGTGTCGTTTTTGTTTGCAATCTTACTTTTGTTGAACTGTGTATTCATCTAATCTGAATGATTAAACTGCTCGAGAGAACATATTTTTGTTTATTTAAAGATGTCTACAATGTCTCTTATGTAACAACATGGTTTTTTTAATTTTAAAAACGAGTAAAATATGGTAAGAGTGGAAACCATGACCTACTCTGCTTTAGTACCGTGTCTAATTTAAAAGTTGATGTTGTTAGAGAGAGCAATTTTTATTTGCTTAATTGATATCTTCAACAACCTTAAATTTATAAAAAATAATAATTAGTGAAGCATAAAAAATTAATGTAACACAACATGTTCGGTAAGGTTAAGTTGCTTGCTTAGTGAATCAACAAGTGTAAAAGGCTATAAGCCTAATTTCAGCCTACTTTGTCAATAAGCTGGCTAAATGTGGCAAAATTTAAACACGCGCACCTAAGTACCATAAACATTGAGTTGTAATTGAGAATTCTGAATAGGGATTTTTCCTATCTATACCATATATGAAACCTTATTACCAAAAATGTTCATAATTTATTAATTACCCGCCCAGTCCACACTTTTACTACAATTTATATACCAATCCATAATTAGGCAGATTCTGCCATTTAAAACGCTCTAAAAAGAAGGCACGAAATCTGCGTTTGATTCTTTCCACATTAAATTCGAATTTTGAAACGAAAAGAGATCTCATTGCTACGTAATTCTCTTATTCACTACATTTCTAAAACAACACAAGCTTCAGAAGCTCCAATACTCAAATTGCTTTTACAAATTCTACAACGCAATACAAATTGTAGAATTCAAAATTGTTCTTCATCGACCTCAGTACTCAAATTGTCGAACCTATATTTGTTCTTCATCATTTTTCTCTCAACTACACGAAATCATGTCAAAAATCCCAATAATGCTAAAATTGAATGGAAATTGGGATCACTATGGCAGATTTAGAGATTTTGAAGTTGATGCCATTGTGGTAGATGAGAATGCAAGCTACGGAATTCTGATTTCTACAATTGCAGAACAACTATCGATTGATACATC